AAAGTCAGGGATCCTTAACCTAACCTTGTCAAATCCTGTGTAAGAGAGAGAGAGAGAGAGAGAGAGAGAGAGAGAGAGAGAGAGAGAGAGAGAGAGAGAGAGAGAGAGAGAGAGAGAGAGAGAGAAACAGAAGGGACGCGCACGCTTCCCTAGTCTCCTCTTGGCCAGAAAAAAAGCTAAAACCTGTTTTGTTGTTGGATGTGCTGTGTACAGTGAACTCACACTGCCACGTAAATTACACATATGCAAAACCCATAATATAACCATTTGTTCATTTATATATATAGAAAGAATTGCTAACTGTAATACCCAGTTATTTACTGAATATTATTTAAGTTAGATGAAGTTAATCACACTGATGATTTGCGGGAGCCGAGAACCGGGCGGCGGCCTAGTAACCTCAAGTCCTTTGTTTCTTCTTATTTATCGCTGTTTTGATACCCGTTATATTATATCAACAATAAATGGTAAATAACAGGTACGTACGCAAAATTAATAAGAAATGCGACATATTATAAGCTTCCAATGAGTGAGTTAAGGTGCAGAAGCCTTGGAAAATCAAATATTTACACTAACTGATCTGAGCTCTTGCTTCGAAGCTTCATAATGATAAAAGAACACCAGTACAACAACTTTCAACTTGTTTCTGGGAGATGCCGGCTCTTCCTACACGCTGTAACCCTTTAAGGATGCCGGTAAAGGGCTCTTGATCCAAGGATCTAGGCGCTGTGTGAACCCCACAGGTTTAGCGCTTCCCTGCATGAACTGATCATGAGTGTGGTCACTTCATGCAAATAAATTTTGGATAAGATTATTAAAGTATAATAATATATCATGAAAGAATAGTGGGGGGAGGGATAGATATATGGGGAGGCAGGGAACTGAATATTAGTATTTGTAAGTTTATTTAGGTATACACAAATACAGTTACATGGATTATCATACATAGCAGTACGTGTAAAGTACCTGGGATAACCCAAAAAAGTCAGAGTGACTTATTTCCATTGGGGTCCTGTATAATACAATGGTCCCTCTAGGACGGTGGTGCCTTTATACCTGTGAAGGGATCTTCCTTAGATCGAACCTGATTGCCTCCACTTTCCCCATGAACCATATTACCTGAGTTTAGAGAACTGGCCGTGAATATAACAGTAATATACACTGATATAATAATGTATATCAATGTTATATCAATGTTCTTCAAGGTTCCCACACCCGGTGTGGTAATAACACATACCCTCATCATCCTTTTACCCAGTTTAACCTTAAGAAAAAGGGCTGACTTGGAGTCTTAACAAAATAAGAGGTAAGGGGATTTATAACTTTTGAATCACAGTTAAACAATACTGTTTAATTTAAGACTTATAAGATGGTGTAATTTGCAAATTATTCGCACACACACACACACACACACACACACACACACACACACACACACACACACACACACACACACACACACACACACACACACACACACACACATAGACGACCTAGTAGCACTCAGTGAAGAGGCGGGGACAGGAACTGAGTCTCGACCCCTGAAACCACAATAAGATGAGTATAATTAGGTGAATACACAAACACACACACACGCACAAAGATATGAAAAGTGAGAACAAAACAAGATCTGAAATTGAGTAAAGACTCTGGGGACATGCTGGAAACCTCACTCAAAGACTCGAGGATGAGTAATCTCTCAACAAATGATCGTTTGGTAAATCTAAAACTAATTTTCAGGGATCTCAACGGTTATTCACGGCCCTATATACGTCATATGTTATGTGTGTGTGTGTGTGTGTACTCACCTATATGTGGTTGCAGGGGTCGATTCATAGCTCCTGGCCCCTGTGTGTATGTGTGTGTGTTGTACTCAATTGTAGTTGCAGGGGTCGAGACTCGGCTCCTGGTTCCTGCTCGTATATGTGTGAGACCCAATTAATATTTGTACTTATAACTCATTACAGTTGTGACCAGGTGTGGACGTGTGAATGGCTCATTACTCTGTAATTTGTTCATAATTGTAACCATGTATAGACGTGTAGATGATTCATTACCTTTGTAACTTTGTAACATAATGGGCCCAGTTCCTGGACCCATTATGTGCCTCTGTAATCTTTTGACTACCGCCCACAGGATGGGTATGTGGTGAATAATAAAGATATTAAACTAACTTAGAGTAAGCAGAACCAACATCAAACCCTCGCATGATAAAGCATATCAAGAAGCTGGAGAAAATGCAGAGATATATAAGAAGACTGGTCCCAGAGCTAATGAGATTGAGCAATGTCGAGAATCTAAAATAACTGAATCTAACGACATTAGAAAATATATCCAGTTGAGACATGATAACAGCATACAAAATTTTCAAAGGATTTGAGAGGGTTGACACTGATAGACTGCCCGAGAGTTGGGAATGGGTACAAGAGGGCATAACTGGAACCTAAAGACACAGATAAGTCAAAGGACTGTCAGGAATTATTTCATCAGCGTCAGAGTGGTCTAGAAGTGCAATGACCTGAGAAAAGAAATAGTGGAGACAGGATAAATACATAATTTTGTGAATAAGTATGTCAGGGCCCACGAGGCTAGAAGAGAGGCAGAGCCCTGAGCGGAGACTCGACCCCTGCAACCAAAACTAGGTGAGCACACAAAAGCAACTCGCGACTAATAGTTTGGAGAACACGTCTCTACATTAAAAAAACCGCAGGTAGGAAGGTTCCTTGATGCCAATCCATTCAAGGAAGGTTCCTTGATGCCAGTCCCTTCAAGGAAGGTTCCTTGATGCATGACCCTTCTAGGAAGGTTCCTTGATATTGATCCCTTCATTGAAGATTCCTTGATGCCAACCCCTTCAAACTAGGTTCTTCGATGTCTGTCCCTTCACAGAAGGTCCTTATTAAAATTACTACAATCGAAAGGCACAGTCACGTTTAAAACTGACAAAAATAAGGTAAATACTTAAATTTATTAAGTACCTTGGCTGCCTGTGTACTGATTAGGCAATAAAATAACCCTCACTAGTGAGTGGGATGGTAGTATTTTGTTCGTCAGGAAAAAAGGAGTATCTCCTGAAACGGGTCTTTGTTCAGTGGTGTAGCGTCCACTGGCCTAGCCCAGCTGTGTGTCATGCCCTGTTTAAAAAACGAAGAGGTTCATTGAATAGTAACGTCGAAAGACAATGTACAATTTTGTGACAAACGAAACACCATTCCCATCTAGTGATGGGTAAGAATGTGGCTCCCACTAGTGACTTGGTAATAGTGGTCCCACTAGTGATTTGGCAATAGTAGTCCACTGCTAATGATTTGCTAATAATGGTCCCTCACTAGTGATTGGATATTAGTGGTGGTACACCTTATTACCCAGTCATTATTGGGAGATCCCTGCTAGTGAATGGGCAATAAGGTAGTCCTCACTAGTGATTGAGTGATAAGGTGATCCCTACTGGTGACCAGGTAACAAGGTGGTTCTCACGTGAAACTGGGTGATAATGCAGGTCTCACTGGCAGTGTGATCTGTGTGAAAAATGTTTTGTGTTAATATAGTCATCTACAAACTTCTTTTCTTTTTGACCTCTGGTTTATAAGGTTTAGGTCGTCCTCTTTAAGTAATGTGACCTGTAGTGTAAGACTTGCTTAATTCTAGGTAAACCAAATCAGATTGCTAGTGCGCTCAGCTCACACATTAAGGTCTCTGGTTCGACCCCCGGTATGGGTGGAAACATTAGGACGTGTTTCCTTAAGACACCTGCTGTCCCTGTTCACCTGTCAGTAAAATAGGTACCTGGATGTTAGTCGACTGGTGTGGGTCGCATCCTGGGGACAAAATTGGCCAAATATATAACAAGGGGTTTTCTGTATAGTAGTATGTCACTGATGTTAGCCTGTTGTGCATGTAATTGTAGAAATAAAGATTTTCCTAAATTCAGCATGTGTAAATCTGAATGATACAATAATTGTGTACTAAAATGTGATGCTGATTTGGCCCTTTCGAGAAATTTCGAATAAGGGGGACTGACACTGGGGAAGAGTCGCCATTTGTAATGTGTGAACACTGGTTGTCGTGGGAAATTCTGCTAATAATCTAGCGTCTGAGCCAAATTGTGGTGTTTTGGCTTTTGCAGGTTGTACACGGCCTATTTTGCAGGTTGTACACTAGGCCTATTTTGCAGGTTGTACACTAGGCCTATTTTGCAGGTTGTACACTAGGTCTATTTGCCTATGTGAAAAGGGCTCTATTTATACCCAACCATTTTGACTTACGTCTTCTCCGGATTTTAAGCTTTCAAAAATTTGCAATAATGTTGGCAGGTTGTTTTACCCATCTGTGACGTTATTAAAGAAGAAAAAGGCATTGTACCGTGACGAACAATACACAAATAACCCGCACATAGCAGACAAACTTATTACGACATTTTAGTCCGACTTGGGCCATTATATAAATAAATAAATAAATATAGTCACACAGGAAACGTCGTCATAAAATTCAATATTTTGTGTTCTATACTGCAGCGCTGTATGACCCTAGTAGGTTTAGCGCTTTGTTTTGGTAATAATAATAATAATAATAATAATAATAATAATAATAATAATAATAAATAATAATAATAATAATGATAATAATAATAATGTTATGCAGCATTATAGTCAAATATACTTTTATATATGTTTTTTTAATTTAAACCGGCAGTAGTGTGGGATGAAATGGTATAAAATATATAGCTTCAGGTATAGAGAAGGTAGTCACATCACGTACACAATTAAAAAAACTGGAAGAACAGCTTGGTAATACGCCTTTAGCTGGGACCAATGAGGCTACACCTTCATATGAGACAAGATAAAATCATTACAGATTCACCCTGAATAACAATATATAAGTTACCCATCCACTACTGATAGTAAATTATATCATACTAGGTAATACAAAATTTGTTATGTGATCACTGTCGGCAGTAATGATTCTTATAATGAAAATACGTGTTAGCTGGAGCCTGGAAGGTTCATGGATGGTGAGGTACGAGGCTTCGAGTCCCCCCACTGCTGCTGCTGCTGCTGCTGCAGGTGTCTGCTGCTGCTGCTGCTGGTGGTGGTGTCTGCTGCTGCTCTCATCACCACCCGGGCCGCTGCTACCATCTCCTCTCCCTCACACTTTCTCTTCAACCATGAAGGGTGAGTGTGTTAGACATACCCTGGGACATATATAAGTGTTCCGTGACACTGCTGTCACATACTACTTGTTACTAACATCTTGGGTGTCTTAGATAAACCTTACTAACAACATGTTACTTACTGGGGAATGACCGCGGAATTTTGAGCTCTGGCAGTATAAACTTGAAGATAAACACGACTACATACATACAGTAGTGTTATATATAATCTGGATGCCCCTTAAGGGAGGTTCCTTGATACCCGGTGTTAGGCTCTTGATACAAGATATTGGTCGTGTCCTCTCCTTCCTTGGATCGAACCTGATTGCCTCCCATTCCAGCAAACGCAGTATGACCCCTTATAGATTTACTTTTTTCCCACAAATGTTATTTTATAAATTAATCTGGTTAACCTGACAAATGCAAATATTATTGATTTTAAATGGTGTTCCCTTGTTTTTTATTTAGGCTCCTCAGGGAGGTGCCATGATAATGAAGGGCTCGTGATCCAAGGCTGTATAGCCCTTGTGACTTAGCGCTTCTTTTTGATTTATAATAATAATAATAATCGTGATCCAAGGTATGTATAAATGGAAAACAGGAATAAATAAGAGGGATGTAAATAACGTGAAAAAAAAAATATATATAACCAAGACTGGACTCGCAGCAATAAGTAAGATTATTCAGGTATATACAAATACAGTTACATAGATTATCATACATAGCAGCATATGTGTAGAGAACCTAGGATAACCCAAAAAAAGTCAGACTTACATTTCCATGGGCAGAGGGTTCAAGTCGGAAAAAAATTGTTTTAGAAAGGATATAGGAAAGCACTGGTTTGGTAAAGAGTTGTGGATGAGTAGAACAAACTCCCAAGTACCATCACTGAAGCTAAAATGTTGTGTAGTTTTAAAATTAAGAGAAATATGTGAGTGGGTGTGAGTTGAACCTGCTTAGCATGGGCCAGTAGGCCTGCTCAGTGCTCCTTTCTTTTATTATTATTATTATCATCTTTATCTTTATTTATGTTCCTTGCAGCGAATTTATTTTTCTCCTATACTCAAGCCCCTCAAGGAAGGTTCCTTGATGTTGGTGAGGGGCTCTTGATTTAGGGAATTGGATCTGTGCTCCAGTTCCCCGAATTAAGCCTGAATGCCTTCCACATCCCCCCCCCCAGGCGCTGTATAATCCTCCAGGTTTAGTGCTTCCCCCTTGATTATAATAATAATCCTATACTCAAGGTGCTGTATAACCCTCTACAGGTTTAGCACTCCCCACCCATGAATGTAAGTGTATAATATGGACATATATTGCCTTTATATTCAACTAAATAATAATAATAATAAAATAATAATAGTTAAAAGTACAAGCATGACAATACCCCAATGGAAATAAGTCACTTTGAATTTTTTTTTTTTTGGGTTATCTTAGGTAATCTACACGTATGCTGCTAAGTATGATAATATGTAACTATATTTATGTGTACCTGTACCTGAATAAAAACCCTACATTAAGACTACAAATATTTTGAGGTAAGTAATGAGTATACTGTGTGTATATTTTACTTTTTGTTTTTAATGCCTTGTTCTATTGCTAACTTAATACGTATATATGTTAGTGTAAACTTATTATCTGACATGTATAAGTGGAAACAAATGGCACTCTACTTTCTGTCAGTAGCCTGGAACCTAACCTGCCATTTAAGTTGGGCCCTACTGTGTATAAATTCTCCATGGGAAAGTGGAACTGAATTCTTCCTCCATAAGCCATGCATATCGTAAGAGGTGACTAAAATGCCAGGAGGAAGGGGCCAGTAAGCCCTTCTATTGTATACATTACTAAATTTATAGAGAGAAACTTTTTTGTTTTTTAGGGTCACCCTGCCTCGGTGGGATATGGCCGGTTTGATTAATTTTTTTTTTTTACACGTCCATTTCTCACCAAGGCAGGGTGACCCAAAAAGAAGGGGGAAAAAAAAACTCATCATTACTCAGACATGACAGTTTAGATGTCCCTCCAAACAGCCAATATCCCAAACCCCTCCTTTAAATTGCAGACATTGTATTTCCCACCCCAGGACTCAGTCTGGCTAAGCAGTTTCCCTGAATCCCTTCACAAAATATTACCTTGCTCACACTCCAACAGCTTGTCAGGTCCCAAAAACCATTAGTCTCCATTCACTTCTATCTAATACACACATGCCTCCTGCATGTCCAAGCCCCTTGCATGCAAAACCTCTTTTACCCCCTCCCTTCATCCTTTCCTAGGATGACCCCTACCCCTCCTCCCTCCACTGCTGATTTATATGACCTCCAAGTCAATCTACTTCGTTCCTTCCTCTCTAAATGTCCAAACGACCTCAACAACCCCTCCTCAGCCCTTTGGATAATACTTTTAGAAACTCTGCACCTCTTAATCTCCAAACTACGGATTCTCTGCATTATATTCACACTGCACATTGCCCTCAGATACGATCTCCACTGCTTCCAGCCTTCTTATTGCAACATTCACCACCCATGCTGCACACCCATATAAGAGCATTGGTACCATTATACTCTCATACATTTTCCTGTTTGCTTCCATGGATAATATCCTTTGTCTCCACAGACTCCTCAGTGCACCATCAACCTTTTTCCCCTTCTTATTTTTGTATAAATTACAGCCTCTCCTCACTTAACAACAGAGCTTCGTTCCTAAGACAACATCTGTAGACTAATTCGTCGCTAAGTGAGGAGCGTACTATAATGGTAGTGGGTGTGTCAGCCAGCTTTGATATTGTTTTAATGTCACCTTTGCACCGTTTATAACATTTCTGGTATATTTTTAAAAATGTTTACTGTACTGTATATTGTAATGAACAAAATAGAGGAAATCAGATCTAATATACATTATATAGGTATGCATACTGGTCAGAGAGTCCGTCATGAGTCCGAGTCATCGGTAAATGAGCACATCACAAAGTGAGGAGAGGCTATACTTAAAATAGAAGAAGAATCTGTTATTGTTCTCAGATTGTATTAATAGTGCTTGCTTTTTAAGGGAATGGAAATAAATGTTTTTTTTATGTATACAGTCTACTTTATATAATTTCAGATCAGTCAGTGATGCTGGAGAATAGCGTTTTGTCCTCTGTCCGTCAGTTTGACCAGCTGCAGGAGGAGAGAGTTCATAGTTATAGACTCTTAGAAGAGTGAGTATATTAAAATGTAGTAACACACTATAAATCTGTATTGTACTGTACTGGGAAAAGAATTATTGTGGTCTTATCCATTAAAATTTTAAGTGTTTCCTTATGACATTATATGGAAAATAGTTAATCCTAATTTCAAGTTGATGTTTATATTATTGAGGCTAATAAACTTAAAAATTTGTATCTTTCAGATGCATTACAGTAAACCTTTTATTTAACAGACCTCGATGTACTGGACTTCAAAGAATATGAAACAAAATTCACTGGGTCATTTAAATCACAAACATCGAACAGTTACTTAGAGAATTTTCCCTTATTGTTAGGATGGTGATACCTGGAGTATACCTCAAGTGGGTTTTGGGGTCAACGCTCCCGTGGCTCAGTCTGACACCAGGCCTCATGGTAGATCAGTTTCTGATTAACCAGGCTGTTACTGCTGGCTTCGCGCAAACTGACGTATGAACCACAGCCCGGCTGGTCAGGTACTGACATGAGGTGCCTATCCAGTGCTTTCTTGAAAACAGCCAGGGTTCTACTGGTAATCCCCCTTATGTATGCTGGGAGGCAGTTGAACAATCTTGGGCCCCTGGCACTTATTGTGTTGTTTCTCAATGTACTCGTGGCACCCCCTACTTTTCATTGAGGGAATGTTGTATCTTCTGCCGAGTTTTTTGCTTTCATAAGGAGTGATTTTTGTGTGCAAGTTTGGTATTCCCTCTAGGATTTTCCAGGTGTATATTATCATGTACTATCTCACTCGCCTGTATTCCAGGGAATACAAATCAAGGGACTTGAACCGTTCCCAGTAATTTAGGTGTCTTATTGCACTAGTGTGCCGTGAAAGTTCTTTGTACACTCTTCAGGTCAGCAATTTTGCCTGCCTTGAAGGGGGCAGTTAGTGTACAGCAGTATTCCAGCCGAGAGAGAACAAGTGATTTGAAGAGAATCATCATGGGCTTGGCATCCCTAGTTTTGAAGGTTCTCATTATCCATCCTATCATTTTCCTAGTAGATGCGATAGATATATTGTTGGTGTCTTGGAAGGTGAAATCCTCTGATATTATCACTTCCTGGTCCTTCACATTACTTTTTTTGCTCTATTGTATGGTTAGAATTTGTTGTTACCCTGATAGTTTTAATTTCCTCAAGTTTTACACACACAAAAGGGATTATGAAATTTGAGGGTCCACTGTAGTTGAAATTTCTCTTCATGTTTTGAGTGGCCCATTTGAAGATTTGGTTAATGTCCGCTCTGAGTCTTGCAGTGTCTTCAATGGAGGTCACTGTCATGGCAATTCGAGTATCATCTGCAAAGGAAGACCCATGTCTTCCTTTGCTATGGCTTACATCTGCCTGTCATATATGAGGATGAGGAATAGGATGGGGGCGAGTACTGTGCCTTGTGGAACAGTTTTTCACCGTAGCTGCCCCAGACTTTACTCTGTTTACTATTACTTTTTGTGTTCTATTTGTTAGGAAGTTATAAATCCATCTACCAACTTTTCCTGTTATTCCTTTATCATGCATTTTGTGCACTATTACACCGTGGTCACACTTGTTGAAGGCTTTTGCAAAGTCTGTGTATACTACATCTGTATTTTGTTTATCCTTTACAGCATCCAGGACCTTGTCATAGTGGTCCAGTAGCTGGGACAAGCAGGAGCATCCTGCTCTAAACCCATGTTGCACTGGGTTGTGTAGTTGATAGGTATCTAGGTGGTTGACAATCTTTCTTCTTAGAACCCTTTTAAAGATTTTTATGATATGGGATTTTAGTGCTATCAGTTTGTAGTTCTTTGCAATTGCTTTACTGCCACCTTTGTAGAGTGGGGCTATATCTGTTGTTTTTAGTGAGTGTAAGATGACCTGTGTGCCCATGCTCCCTTTCCATAAACGGGGGCTTTCTTGCAGTTCTTGATGAACATGGAGTTTCATGAGTCTGGGCCTGGGGCAGAGTGCATGGGCATGTCATTTATTACTTTTTCGAAGTCTTGTGGTGTTATGATAATACGTATCAGAGATTTTTGAGATGACCAGATTTTGGGTTTTGTTCATAAAGAATTCATTTGGATTGTCAACCCTTAGTCTGGGTAATGGCTCGCTTAACACTGAGTCATATTGGGACTTTAGTATCTCGCTCATTTCTTGGCTGTCATCTGTGTATGTCCCTTCTTGCCTAAGCAGGGGCCCAATACAGTGAACCCCTGTGAATTCATGGTTCTGAATTCGTGGCTTCAGTAATTTGCAGATTTTTCCTAAGACCCTAACACAAACAGTAATTCTTCGCGGAAATACCCGCAAATTTGCGGGATTTTTTTTTTTTTTTTTTTTTTTTTTTTACTTTTTTGTGGCAGTATATAATTTTTTTTGTGTTTTAACCCTTTCAGGGTCCAGAGACCAAATTTCAAAGTGTACACCAGTGTCCAAGAATTTTAAAAAAATAATTGTTATTTTTTTCTTATGAAATGGTAGAGAATCTTTTTCTGAAGGTAAAACAAAAGTACTGTCAAGAAATTTTAATGAAAATAAGAAAAAATTTTGGAGTGAGTTAAACAAGTTAAGAAAGCCTAGGGAAAGTATGGATTTGTCCGTTAAAAACAGAGTAGGGGAGTTAGTAGATGGGGAGAGGGAGGTATTAGGTAGATGGCGAGAATATTTTTAGGAACTTTTAAATGTTGAGGAAGAAAGGGAGGCGGTAATTTCATGCACTGGCCAGGGAGGTACAGTATACCATCTTTTAGGAGTGAAGAAGAGCAGAATGTAAGTGTGGTGGAGGTACGTGAGGCATTACGTAGAATGAAAGGGGGTAAAGCAGCTGGAACTGATGGGATCATGACAGAAATGTTAAAAGCAGGGGGGGATATAGTGTTGGAGTGGTTGGTACTTTTGTTTAATAAATGTATGAAAGAGGGGAACGTACCTAGGGATTGGCGTGGAGAGCATGTATAGTCCCCTTTTTTAAAAGGGAAAGGGGACAAAAGAGATTGTAAAAAATTATAGAGGAATAAGTTTACTGATATACCAGGAAAAAATATACGGTAGGGTTATATTGAAAGAATTAGAGGTAAGACAGAATGTAGAATTGCGAAAGAGCAAGGAGGCTTCAGGTGGGTAGGGGATGTGTTGATCAAGTGTTTACATTGAAGCATATATGTGAAACAGTATTTAGATAAAGGTAGGAAGTTTTTATTGCATTTATGGATTTAGAAAAGGCATATGATAGTGGATAGAGGAGGCAATGTGGCAGATGTTGCAAGTTTATGGAATAGGTGGTAAGTTACTAAATGCTGTAAAGAGCTTTTATGAGGATAGTGAGGCTCAGGTTAGGGTGTTGTAGAAGAGAGGGAGAATACTTCCCGGTTAAAAGTAGGTCTTAGACAGGGATGTGTAATGTCACCATGGTTGTTTAATATATTTATAGATGGGGTTGTAAAAGAAGTAAATGCTAGGGTGTTTGGGAGAGGGTGGGATTAAATTATGGGGAATCAAATTCAAAATGGGATTGACAGTTACTTTTTGCTGATGATACTGTGCTTATGGAAGATTCTAAAGAAAAATTGCAAAGTTAGTGGATGAGTTTGAGAATGGTGTAAAGGTAGAAAGTTGAAAGTGAACATAGAAAAGAGTAAGGTGATGAGGGTATCAAATGATTTAGATAGAAAAATTGGATATCAAATTGGGGAGGAGGAGGTATGGAAGAAGTGAATGTTTTCGGATACTTGGGAGTTGACGTGTCGGCGGATGGATTTATGAAAGGATGAGGTTAATCATAGAATTGATGAGGGAAAAAAGGTGAGTGGTGTCGTTGAGGTATATGTGGAGTCAAAAAACGTTTCTATGGAGGCAAAGAAGGGAATGTATGAAAGTATAGTAGTACCAACACTCTTATATGGGATGTGAAGCTTGGGTGGTAAATGCAGCAGCGAGGAGACGGTTGGAGGCAGTGGAGATGTCCTGTCTAAGGGCAATGTGTGGTGTAAATATTATGCAGAAAATTCAGAGTGTAGAAATTAGGAGAAGGTGTGGAGTTGATAAAAGCATTAGTCAGAGGGCAGAAGAGGGGTTGTTGAGGTGGTTTGGTCATTTAGAGAGAATGGATCAAAGTAGAATGACATGGAAAGCATATAAATCTATAGGGGAAGGAAAGAGGGGTAGGGGTCGTCCTCGAAAGGGTTGGAAAGAGGGGGTAAAGGAGGTTTTGTGGGCGAGGGGCTTGGACTTCCAGCAAGCGTGCACGAGCGTGTTAGATAGGAGTGAATGGAGACGAATGATACTTGGGACCTGACGATCTGTTGGAGTGTGAGCAGGGTAATATTTAGTGAAGGGATTCAGGGAAACCGGTTATTTTCATATAGTCGGACTCGAGTCCTGGAAATGGGAAGTACAATGCCTGCACTTTAAAGGAGTGGTTTGGGATATTGGCAGTTTGGAGGGATATGTTGTGTATCTTTATACGTATATGCTTCTAAACTGTTGTATTCTGAGCACCTCTGCAAAAGCAGTGATAATGTGTGAGTGTGGTGAAAGTGTTGAATGATGATGAAAGTAGTTTCTTTTTGGGGATTTTCTTTCTTTTTTGGGTCACCCTGCCTCGGTGGGAGACGACCGACTTGTTGAAAAAAAAAAAAAATACTTACTGTACACATACCAATGAAAACTGGTTTGCATGAATTACAGTACATATGGGGTAACATCAGTGTTTTACATTCTAGCACCGCGGGAGACATAGCAATACAGTATTGTATACGGGTTTATCTTTACATTTTTTCTTTAAGGGTGATATATGAAGCTGAGTTTGAAACTAAAGTGTTTTGGGGACATATGTAAGGTTTAAACTATAAAAATAGGTATTTGTTTAACCGCGTCCAGAATTCGTGGTTTTCCAAATTTGTGGGTGATCTTGGAACGTAACCTCGATGAATTTGGGGGGACTATTGTACTGGCTGTTGTTTTTCCCCTTAGATTTGGCGTAAGAGAAGAATTTTTTTTTTTTTTTCAAT